TGGAAATTTTGGTAGTAGCCCAGTGATTTAAGCAGGCCAACGGATAGGAGTGGTAGTATTTAATCTCATGCTAGTTTCTTTATTAAGTACATCTCACAGCTACACATATTCCCGATATAATGAATGAAGACAAAATTAGTAGGAAATTTAAAAAATACTGTTGAAATTACAGGTTGTTTGGGCCGTTGCCTCTGCTCCATATTGAAGGTTAAATGGCCAGAAAGAAATAGCAACAAGAAACTCTGGGAACGAATTACTCAAGAACCTACTGCTCAACAAATTTCTCGAAGAAAGTGCAGATGGATTGGACACAAGCTGAGGAGATCGCCTAGTAACCTCGCGCGCCAGGCCATTGGTCGAGTGGAACCCGAATGCGGCATCCACGGGTGACATGGAGAAGATCATGTGAGGCAGAGATGTATTACTGAAACCCTATGTTCCAATCAAAACCCAAGGAATAATAATAGTAATAAGCCGCTGTTGTGAAACATCTTGGCAAATAAACTGCACACTTCACATCATCATAGAAACAAAAGCAGTTTCTGTGCGTCGGTGGCACAGTGGTTAGGACTCTCGCCGACCATGCACATGGTCCGAGGTTCGATCCCCTGCCGGCGCACACCCGATATCTATGGTCGGCCTGAATTTGGGCTACCAATATCCATGCTGAAAATTCCACACTTGTACTGAAAATACGGTGTGGAATCAAGCTGTAAATCAAAATAAAAAAAATAAATATCATATCTGACCATTTTGTGTTATAGTTGAACCAGCCTTGAAAGCTGTACACTGTTGGGCAAACCAGTGTAATAGATTCACATGAGAAAAAGCTCATTTACACTCAACAAACTGAATCCATCCTGTTGCAGAGTCCCTTTGTAAAAGTCTTTCGCTCAGTATTTCACGAAAAAGTGACGCCACTACTTGTACAGGCGCGTAATTACCATTTGCTCTATCAGACACTTTTCAGGTGTAAAAAGTGTGACTTTTTTGCGGCTAACGCCTCTGTTGCAACTTTCTACAGGAAAATAAGATTCAAGCAACAACAAAAAAACTCACAGTTATCGAAAAGAACTTTATCGAGAATTGATATCCTCGAAAGTTCATTTCAAAATATGGAAGTGAAAAAAGCAACAACACCTGGACTGAAACCTAAAACTGTTCGAAAGAAACCAATCTTTCCATATTGGTTTGTTTATTAGATGTATCATACAGTGAGTGAAACAGTATTATTTACTGGATGACGTTTCGAATAAAATTTATTTATTGTTCATAATCATTTCATCAATTATAATCACACGACTTCGAAACTTAAGTTATATGGTTTTCTTTGTTCTCTCCTAATTGTCGTCGTTGGGGTAGTAGAATTTTTTTCAGATATCTGGGTGGACAGGTGTTGAATCATTCCTACTTCACGTATTTGCAGTTGATTCGATAAACAAAGCTTCTGTTATCAATCTCTCCCTCCACCCTGTGACATTCGATTTGAAAACTGTCACTTTATCCCATCCTATTATAAGGTTGTGTGTAACTGCATGTAGTGCTATAGCTGAACTATTCTCTAGATTTCTTATCTTATTCGGGTCAACTAATCTAGATTTTGCTGCTAGGTTTTTATGCTCAGCTAGTTTGACTGCCCCTGTTCTACTACTTTGACCTGACAATCATCACAGGCAGTGTATTAGATAAACTAAATTGTTTTGTTTTAAAGGCTCCACAGGAACCACCATTTAACCGACAAAGCTTGTTTCTAACTGAGTTTGTGGGTTTGAATGCTAGCCACTCTTATTCCTGCCTTGTTAAGAATTCTGCGTAAGGTTTCCGAGGTTCCTTCTTTGTATGGAATTACTACTGGTGATTTAGATTCCTGATTGTTGGTGTTGTCTTACGCACATTTGACTTGCATGTCGTCATTAATATTATTATTATTATAATTGTGGTGAGTGCTACTTATAATCCGATATAAGCAGTATATCAGAAACGAATTCAGAAAAGTAACAATATGTTTGGCACACTGGAAAGAGCAATCAAAGAAGAGAATCATGAGAAGAATGTTGCCATATGATGCAGAATCCAAGAAGCTATAGAATGTGACGATATTCGACCAATTCGTCAAGGATGTGTAAATGATGTGCAAATGGCAGGTTGGAAATATGGTATTCGAAATTTAGCTATGTACAGTACGTTTCCCCAAATAAACATTCCTTTCAGCCTCCTCGACTATCACTACTACCATTAATTTTATTTTTACATTTCCCTACATATTTCCTGACTAATTTATCAGGGTAATTATTAAGTTTCAAGGCTTCTCTTATATGTCTCACTTCCTGTCTTAGATTTCCCTTGGTACTACTTATTTATTTTGCTCTATTACTTAGACATTTCACTGATATAGGATGTGATGACCGGAAGTCCAAATATCTGTTTGAATGTGTGGCTTTCTAATACCCGTACGACGACAAATAGGAGAGGACAAAGGAAACTATAAAACTCAAGTTTCAAAAATCGTGGGATTATAATTGATGAAATGATTATGAACAATAAATTTTGTTCGAAACTGTGTCATCCAGTAAATAATACTGTTTCACTCACTGTGTGATACATCTAACAAACAAACTAATATGAAATTACTTACTACCACAGTGCCCAAGTCTTACACATATAGAAACCAATCTTTATTTGTCTCAGCGTACACAGGGGAAAGAAGTATCTACAAGAACCGAGAAAAGAGTTAACCGTGAACTAAAAAGAACACTTCTCGCTGCCACCAGATTCATTCCACTTTACAACACGGTATACTCGTTAACTCAGTCAAAAGTAAATAAGTATCCTGCTCTGCATGTCAACTTCAACGGCATTTACCAATTCACTTGCAATTGATTCTACTAGATTTTCTGAGGATATCGCTAAAATTATCCCTCCATGAAAGATAGTAAATTGTCCTTAGGCGCGCTTTTCAGACATCTGATTAATACGGGACATAAAGAGGAAATTACAGTCAGCTTTTCAAAATAATCAATACGCAGAAGCCATTGTTATCAAAAGACTTCGATCTCACCTCTGTATACCAAAAGATAATGTGACTAATCTCTCACTACTCTTGTAACCATAACTATTTTGTTTGTGTGCTTTTGCTTTGTGTTCTGTTGCGTAACATCCCCAATTTATTTTAACTTTGACTCACTGAGTTGAACTCACTATTAAGTTTCCAAATCTATTAAGTTAAATTATTTTATCTATTTTATTAATTAACATTACTATTCATCCCTACCCTCATGAAGTCTCCATCATCGATGACATTCTGGAGTCAGCTGTGAAGAATGTGCGTGAAGGTGGTGTAAATCTGCTCCCTGGAGATAGACTTTTCGACCTCGAGTATGCAGATGATATCGTCTTACTGTGCGATAGCATGCAGGCTGCCCAAATCGCACTTAATCAGTTGGCGATCAGTGTCTGTAAGTATGGTATGTGCTTTGCACCGTCTAAGTGCAAAGTACTGTTACAAGATTGGCAGGAGCCTGTACCTGCGCTCACTCTTGCGGGTGAACCGCTTGAAGTTGTTGATAAGTTTGTGTATCTGGGTAGTTGTGTGAGTGCTGGTGGAGATTTCGAATCGTATAACGAAGGCTAGGGTGGCATACATCAACTTGAGCCACCTCTGGTGCCGTCGCGAAGTTAGCCTGGCTGTCAAAGGTCGGGTATACAATGCCTCGGTGCGGGCTGTCTTGCTCTACGCCTGTGAAACATGGCCTCTCTGAGCTGAGGATATGAGGCGACTCTGTGTGTTCGATCATCGCTGTCTCCACAGGATTGCTTGCGTTCGATGGCATCATCGCGTGAGTAATTCTGAGGTTCGGCGGCGTGTGTTTGAACACAGTGGAGATCACCATTCATTGAGTGTCGTCATCTGGAAACACCGGCCTCGGTGGCTTGGACATGTGCTGCGAATGTCATCCCAGAGGCTTCCGTACAAGTCTCTGTTCGCTAGCCCTGGGACGGGATGGAAAAGGCGGAGGGGTGGGGTTAGTCCATGACGTGGCGTCGTGGGGTGAAGGGTTTTTGTGCTAGATTAGCATCGGTTGGTGTGTCACGACTCCCTGGTTGGGGTCCGCGAGATAGCTCGAATCGATGGCTCGAAACGTTATCGAAAATGGCCAAGAATCGTAATCGATGGCGAACGTGTTGCAATTTCCTTCTTTCTCCCCTTCCTGATGATAGTTAAAGAATACTGTTTGAACATGTTAAACATGACTGTTTTCCTTCCAGATGAAGTTTTTTATCCGTTTTCTACTTATATTTTTACTTTTGATCTATGTTGTTTTATTATTATTGTGTGGCGCATCTTTCTTTGTGCCATATTGCACCAAGTTTTTCTGAGTTTAAATAAACAAATAAATAAAATAAATACTCTGTTATTCTATCTTGTATTTTGTCTCTAGTCCATCCTTGTTTCCATGCGAAATTTAAAGTTTATTCCCCTTGTATAATTAGTGTATAGATAGTTACTGTTCTAACACTGAATAATTTGTTTGCTTACATTATTTATTTTCGACCTAGTTGGCACTCACCAGTCAGCAAGGCAGCGGCGTATCTGCAATCCGTTGAAGGAATTCATGTCGCTTCTGAGATCCAAACCCGTATCACCTAGTGTCGCCTGCAGTCTAAGACGAATCTTAGAAGTGACATGAGTTTCTTCAACGATTACAGATACGCCGCCGCCTTGCTGACTGGTAGTGGTCGTGGTGAATACCAACTAGCACGAAACCTAGGTAGATCCTGGTAAGTCTTCCTGTAGTCGATTACCTCCAAACTATCTAGCATCAACAATTCAAAGTGCACCGTGATGGCAAGCCGCCTAACGGCATAGTGACAGCCACATTGCAAACTTGATTGACAAGAGAATTAAAGTCTACACCAAATCATAGGGCTAGACACATTACATTACACAATAGTTAGTAATAACCAGTGTCCAATCAAAAATAATTAAAAAAAAGATGTAATTTAAAAATATCAACTTTATTTATTATATAATATATATAGACATTGACACATCGGATCAAACGTGTTGTCTCTACACTTTTTGGCAGAATCCATAGGCCTGTAAGAGAAGAGGGTGAAAAAATGTCTTGAAATTGCGTCTATTATTATTATTATTATTATTATGCATCATTTCAATGAAGCCGAAAAACAAACAAACGAAATTGCGAAAATATTCATTCAGACATCTGTAAAACACGAGATAATTGAGCAAAGAATGCCCTTTTCAATAAATTCCTCCTCCTCTGGCTCTACAATCATATATATGCCTATATACATAGAATACTCCAGAATAGTAGTCAATAACAATATTAGTGTTTTTTAAATGTTGTCGATTTGTTAAGCAACATTAATGGAATTACAGTTCACTAAGGATGCATAAATTATAATAATAATAAGCATAAAAATGTAACAGCAAATAGAATATCAACTATAATTAAGGAGATTTTTACAAAAAATTGAGGATCATTCAAACCTAGATGGCCAGTGGGGTTAAGGACAGTGTCTGAACTAACTTCTTCTTTTGGACACATAAATTAGACTTCTTAGTGTGGATCCCAACAGTCAGTCTCAGCAATATTTAGTGAACGGACTCTTAAGGCGAAGTTAAGATTTGTTGGTAAACGGCAGATGACTTTGAGAGCCGCCTCACTGATAACAATCTTGTGTTCTGTGTCCGCAAGATGAGATAAAATAGCGCTATGAATAGATTTTGTTTGTCCTTTACTTAACCAACCAATATGCAGGGTGATGTTCGGAAATCTGATGAGAAACACGCCTAATTGTACGGTCGGTGTGGAAATTAACTCTACATCAAATTGTACATCTCTAAAGTATTAACAGAAAAGAAGATTTAAAGACAAAAATCTTTTATTCCCTTGCAAATATTGAGTTGGTGACAGAACAGTAGAAGTATTGGTTTGGTAGGGATTTTGTTTGATTGCATGGAGAATTTCATCATGAGCTGACATCATTTAGAGAACCACTGGAAAACTACTGAAGAGTCCCAAACTAGGACGAAACAGCTGTCCAGTACTCCCAGGTTTTCCAGTGGTTCTCTAACTGATTTCAGCTCATGATGAAATTCTCCATGCAGCAGAACAGTAGAATGCTCACCAATCATGCTCATGTGGTCCAAGGTTTGATTCCCAGTCACTGGACGCACTCCTCCTTTACCTCACTGTAAGCCAGTAATAATAAGACTGGTAAAGAGGGAAGGTTAGACTGGGCGTGAGGCTAGCTAGCAGCAACCCCATCCCTTAAATAAAAAAACAATAAACAAGCACCACAGCTACGGGAACTTCAAGCCACTAGCTTGAAGCCCCCACCCTCTCCTACGTTCCACTGAGGGCGGCAGACGTAAAGGAATAAAATAAAAAGATAAAAATTACCTTACAAATAGCTTCTGATGAAGTTTTTTCAACATAAGATACTTCACTTCGTAAGAAATTGTCTACTGTCTCATCGCACTGAAAGAAAAAACAAAAAAAACAAATTGAAGCATTATGGATAAATTGGGATTTTTAGATCAAACTGAAAAATGTTTGCATAATCTGAAGACAGTCTTCATTATGAATAAAACTTTTATTTTCATAAAATCACACAGTGTTGTTATACGGTAATGTTTTTACTGATGACCACGTTTCAAAGCACAATTTATCACTACTTATAATGATATCAAGGCACTATTCACACAACTTTCTTGCTTCATTTATATTATTAGTTTTATTATTCTCTTGGGTTCCGAGTGGAACATAGGGCTTCAGTAACACATAAAATAATCTCTCATCTCAAAGCTTACACGATCTCCTCCAATAAAATTCACATTTGAATCAGGAAATGAACAAGGAGAACTAACTATGATATTAGATTGTAAAATAAAACGAATAGAAGAAGGTAAACTGCACACTAGCGGCGTTTATAAAAAACCAACGTATTCTGCTAATAGATATTTAGACTTTAATTCATCTCATCCGTTATGTCTGTGAAGGCAGGCTTAGTTAAGTGTCTAACAAACGGAGCAATAGCACTAAGTAGTAAAACAAAAAAAACCTAAATGATGAAATGAAGCGGATAGAAGAAGAAGTGTTGGTGTCAAATAACTATCCTATAAAATTCTTTAGGAAGATTAGGAAAAGCCAAAAGCCAAATAAAAATAATGGGAAAACTAGTGATGATAACATAAATAAGAGAGAATATGAGGCATCTACTGTTATACCTTATATTGAGAGGACATCTGAGACCCTCACTATATAGGATTCTTAGTAAAGCAGGAATTAGGGTGGCATTCAAACCTACAAACTCACTCCGGTAGGACAAGCTCTGTAGGTTACAGGACCCTATCGGTTGACCCAATTAAACAAAATAATACAATTTACAAAATACCTTGCAATGACTGTGAGCTAGGTCAACAACATAGGTGAGTCAAACTAGTAGATTGGGAGTAGTGAGATTATCAGAACATAAGAATTTAGCTAAGGTAAGAATGATTGATCCCACAATGATAAGTAATTTAGAAGAAAAAAGACTCAGCAATTGCACTGCATGCATTAACACACAACCACACAATATATTGGGGGTGGGACAGGGTTAAAATTCTAAAAGGTATTATAGGTAGGTGGAGAGAGAGAGATTGACTACTAAATCCTTTTTCATCGAGTCTACACCCAACACATGTTCAATAGAAGTGACTCAACGCAAATACCGCAGATATGGAAGATATTATTACCTACCACCAGTCAAATCAGAGGAGGATAATAAATAATGTTAAAATGTATTCAATTCAAATACATTACAACATTTTCATTATAGTCGCCTTCTCTCGACAATGAAGACCAGATAGGCGGCAGTCAGAAAGCAAAAGTAACAAGGAACCTTTTTCAGTGAACCAACTAACAACCTATTACCCAATAGAAAAATATGCCAAGAAGAAATAGAGACGGATTGAAGGTGAGCTGTGAAGATCTTCACGTTACACTAGCCACCAACCACTGCAGGCTGTCCAGCGGAACATGAATGGGAATCGACCAGTTGGGTTTGACGACTGAGGGTGGTGGGGAGTGGGGATTGATATACACAAAATCATATATATACATAAGAAATAAAAGCTTTGTGGGTAGTGGTCAGTCGTACAGCCATTTGAGTATGAAGGAGTACTCCCCCTGGGAACCAGTGATTCACATGCAGAATACAAGGAATAAAAAATAGTTAAACACTAAATGCGTTTTGCCTTTCTCACATTTTCAGCGCTTACTCCAGTAGATGTACATAACAAACTAATTTGTGCTTCAATGAGGCTAGTAACAGTCTCCCATCCGAGTATTTTTCTTAAAAAGTCTACTGAGGTTTTGCATTCATTACAAGCTGAAAAAGAAAATGAGCACAACACAAATGATGTTTGTATTGATAAAATGGATAAGAATGAATCGAAAGGGCAGCAACGACAACAACAACAAAAGCAACAACAATACCAGGTCTAATCAATAAAGTAGAAATAAAAACTCACTTTCATCTTCCTTCAATGGTGTCTGAAATTAAATTGTGTAGAAAGTTATAGTAAAAAGAAATTAGTCAAGTATATAGTTGTATAATTACAATATGAGTAATGTATACACGAAAATATATTACTAACACAAATGATTGTTAAATCCAGTGCAGTGACTATGCAATTAATTGCATATAAAGACTTGCAAGCAGGCGTAAATCAACAAACTGGCTGAAGATGCGAGAAGACGGTGAAGACAGGACTGCAGATGAACATAGAAATTTAACCAAGGTTACTTCCTTTACCTATTATCTGGCTACGAAGTAATGTTTCAACTACAGGCAGTCGAAACGGATGATTATGTAAAAGCCAATTGGTATTGGAAAGGCAAGATACGCCTTCATCAACCTGAAACCAGTTTGGAAATCTTATGCACTCCACCTCAACAAAAACAAGAAGATTGGTATTTTCAAAACCAATGTCAAGTTGGTCCTTCTATAGGGGTCAAAAACTTGGCGTTCATGTCACGAAAAGGATTTCCAACAGGTTGCAGAATTTCATCAACATCTGCTTTCACTCCATACTGAAAGTTATATGGCCAGAAAGAATAAGTAACAAGAAACTTTGGCTGGGAACGAACCAACCAAGAGCTGGTCGCTCAACAAACATGTAGGAGAAAATAGAGATGGATCAGGCATACAATGAAGAGGCCGTCGAATGACATCGCGCGCCAGGCCATTGCTCGAGAGGAATCGAAATGGCTGTATGACAGTGTCTTATGTCAGGTGATCCACAGTGGAAAACTCAGCGAAGCTTCTGAAATAAAAATTTACGAATAAGACAAGATTGCCTATTGTCACGGATGGTATTCCTAACTGTGGTCGACTGGATCATGCGGGAGACTTTTCGAGTAGCAAGAAGACAGGAGTATGCTGCACTAACCGATAAGAAGACTCTAGAAGATCTGGATTTCGCGCGTGGGTGATTTATATTTACTCTCATACAAAAACTCGAAGACTTGGAGAAGAAAAGCAGCCAACTAGCTAAAGACGCCATCAGTAAAAACAGGACTTCAGGTGAATATGGAGAAGACGGAGGTGATGAAGATAACCAACCAACCAACCAACAGTAGCAGCAGCAACAACAACAACTAGCACTAATCACCATCAACGGGAGAGATTTGACAGAGGTTACTTCCTTCATTTATCTGTCTAGGAAGCCAGCACCGTTTCAGCCACAGGCGACAGAACAGATGAACATGCCGAAGCCAGACAGTATCGGAAACGTAAGGTATGGATGGCTTCATCAACCTGAAACTAGTTTGGAAATCTTCTGCTCTCACTCAACCAGCATAAACAACATGATTTAAACTTTTAACAGTCAGTCAGTTCTCCTGTATGGGTCGGAAACATGGTGTATCATGAAAAGGATTTCCAACAAGTTACAAACTTTTATCAGTAGCTGCCTTCTGTGGCGCTATATTGAAGATCAAATGGCTGGCTGGCTGGCCGCTCGGCCAGAAAGAATTAGCGACAAAAAACAATGGGAACAGACCAACAAGCGAGAGCCGATTGTTCAACAAATATGTAGGAATAAATGGAGATGGATCGGGCATACACCACTGAGGAGGCCATCGAACGAAATCGCGTGCAGTGTCGCTGCTCGAGTGGAATTCGAATGGGGAGCGACGAGTGGGTCATCAGTACTAGGGTGACATGGGGGAGAACGTATGTTGGGGGGGGGAGGAGGAGATGAGAGATTATGGGCAATCGTGGACCCAGCTGAAGAGGATGGCAGAAAATAGAAGAAAGTGGAGATGTGTTGTTGAAGCCCTATGTTCCACTCGGAACCCAAGGGAATAATAATAATAATATAAAAACTGGTGAGTGTAAAGTAGAGAAATCCTGAACACTCTACAAGACTGGGACAGCGCTGTGTTTGTTTCACTCTAGTCTGAGGGCTCTTCATTATTGAACACCTGTGACTCCACTAGGCCTTGATTTATTCAGCATGAAAATTAATTAACAAAATCGTCAGAAACTCTAAATCTAGAGTTTTTTTTCTAAAATGAATATTGATTTCATCTATTCATTCCTGATGTACTGTTACTCTCTGTGATCATAGTCGGTGAGTTTTACGATTTCATGAGTAGAGTGGATGATTATCAATGTCATTAGTTGGTGGTAGAGGTAGCGCTATATCATGCAGTGACAGAAGTTAGAATTCACAGGTTACTAGATTTCAATCCAGTGCCTGAATGGCCTCGTAAAATGAAGTTTTATTTTTTTTTGGGGGGGGGGGGAGGGTTCGATTCCTAATAGGATCATTAAGGTGGACTGTCAACGAGTTCAAGACCAGGAGTAAATGACTGTCAGTAACAACGTGGTTTCTAATGGATCTCTAATTAATCTTACTTCGTGACGAAATCAACAAAGAAACTAACAGTTTTGTCTTGGATATGATAGGTTTGTTAGTGAATATCGATTGATGAAGTTTGAATAAAAAGATGCCTATGAACACTATCTTTTTAATGAATATTATTTAACTCTTCAACCAGTTAATGAGTTACTTATTGAAAAAACAAAATAATTGAGCAAAGAATGCCCTTTTCGATAATTTCCTCCTCCTCTGGCTCTACAATTATATATATGTTTATATACATAGAATATTCTAGAATAGTAGTCAATAACAATATTAATGTTTTTTAAATATTGTCGATTTGTTAAGCAACATTAGTGGAATTACGGTTCACTAAAGACGCATAAATTATAATAATAAGCATAAAGATATAGTAGCAAATAGAATATCAACTAAAATTAAGGAGATTTCTACGAAAAATTGAGGATCATTCGAACTTAGATGACCAAGGAAACACAAATCAGGCTTCTTAATGTGGATCCCAACAGCTGGCCTCAGCAATATGTAGTAGGCGAACTCTTAAGGCGAAGTTAAAATTTGTTGGTATGTGGTAGATGACTTTGAAAGCCATCTCATTAACATCATTCTTGTGTTCTGTATCCCCAAGATGAGATAGATTAGCGCTATGTGAATAGATTTTGTTTGTCCTTTACTTAACCAACCACTATGCAGGGTGATGTTCGGATATCTAACGAGAAACATGCCTAATTGTACGGCCTATGTAACTGGCTACGATAACACCTTCAAAAATCTACGTGATGTTACTTAAATGGTTGTTACTAGCAGCTGAATCTGTGATACACATTTCAATTATACAAAGTTTTAAACTAATAACCGATAAAACTTTATGATATGTATTAAACAACGAGTTAAGAAGTAACTGAAAACCATTGAACCATTGAAAATATAAAAGAAAAGCTGACTTACCGTGAAAGCTGAGTGAATCATGAAAACTTCTGTAAAATACAAACCAAAAAAGGAAATAATAAATTAGAAACAATCAAATTTGAATCATTACAAAAATTTTGAAATAATAATAATGATAATAATAAACTTTACCTAGTAAAACAAGACTTAGAAAAATGTAGCGATTCATTATTGAACAGTGAGCGCGCTTTTTGTCTTTCGAGGGTTTTGATGAATACGTGATCTGTTAAAAGATGCCTTTATATAAGGTATGCTCAGACTTATTTGTACGCTCCGAATACTTTGAACATGAATAATAATATTCAAAGTACAAAAACATAAGTGGTTTGTTTATATTGTAAATAAACAGTTTCGACTGGTTCTTTTTGAAGTTTAAAACTGAAAAAAAATAAACAGCAATTGAAAACTGCAATTAAACACGAATTCTATTTTACACTATTCATGTATAACACACAAGACTTTGCTCTGTTTTGAAGTGATTTTGATAAAAAGAAACAAAATAATAAATTTGATATAAACTTTTTTTTTGATAAAACTAAATGATTAATCTTAATTTATTGTTTATAAGTCTACTAGTTAATTAGAAATTAAAATTAAAATATTAATTATAATTAGAGTTTAATGTGATTTTATTGTGGTGATTGTTAAAGCAGCATTGGAATGAAAGAGGAATATTTCGTCCTATATGAGACTCACTAACTGGATATACTTGCATTCCTAGTGAGGCAGTGATGATGATGTTCACATTGACAGTCGAATCCAGTATCCATAGTTTTAAATGCTACCTTCTGTGCATGAATGAATCAATGTACATCCCATTGCTGGTGTAGACATGATATTCGACTGATTATCGATCAAAGGGTGTCGGTGTGTGTGTGTGTACTACTCAGCAGTTCACCTCGTTCTCCTATACGGTTGTGACTGAGATATGGTCATTGAAAGTGGAAGACATGAAATGACTGGCTGGCTAGCTAGCTTAGCTGTCTTTGATCATAGGTGTCTGCTTTTCTGTCCCACCTGCTAGGTAGTATAATGTGGTGAGAAATATTGGGGTTAGGCATCGGTTGAGTGTTAGGTAAGGAGGGAAAATCAATCGATGAGGTGGTTGGGACATGTGTTGCGCATGCCTAACCATCCATCACCTTAATTGACGGGTGATGTTAACTGACTGACATAGGATGGATGGATGAGGTTGGAAAAGAGCTAGCTAGTGGTGGTCAAACCAAAACATCGCTTCATCAGCCAATGAAATCCACAACAGTTAATTTAAGCCGGCCAAGTAGAGAGGTGTTGACTGCTGTGTGGTCGGAGTCCTAGATCGGTGATATGGCTCAAAATCATTGTCAGTGGCTGGTGTAGGTGCATTCACTCTTTGTGATTTATCATATCCAATAAAACTCTATTGTTTCTCCTTCATTCACAATTCTGTTTATTATCCCTCTCTCTTTTGAATCTGTCTTTACTCTCTTCGCGTGCTTTAACTGGTACATGGAGAGAGTGTGGCAAGTGGAAATGCTGCACATCTGTGCAAAGTTCTACGTTGAAACCAGTCAGTCAGTTAGTCAGAAGGTACATCTATCGAATAAGAGTTATAAACAGGACGAAATGTGCATCCTAGATTTCACGTCTATAGTTACCACCACATATCAGGTGTAACATCATATTGATAATTTCAATGCATCATCCAAATGTCGATATACTAAGAGCGAATATGTTAACAGAGGCTGATTATTTCCGTCCAACAAAAAAGTAATCGATTACAGGATTTCATCATGAGCTGACATTGGTTAGAGAACCATTGGAAAACCAGCTGGGAGTACTGGACAGCTGTTTCGTCCTAGTTTGGGACTCTTCACAGTACGCACCCACCAATACTTGAAAAAAGTAATCAGCGGGAAATGCGCGATATGACAGATAACAATTACAGTTTTTGTCTTAGATCTACGAAGTTCATTTTACCTATTTTGTTGATTTTCGCTCTTCAACTGCTTATAACTTAAACAAAAGCAAAAAACAAAATATATATAGAATTTTCAAATATAAGGGTTTGAACATAGTTTTACCAAGTCTATGACGAGTTACTGAACTCCATAAGACATAAATCTGAGATGATATAAGTAATGTAATTATTACAAGTGTTGAAATAACTAAATGTGTTTAGAGTAATTCATAAACTTAATAATCTTTTATGGATTCAGGAGAAACAAGTTGTTATGCATCGATCAAATCGCAACACTACGGATCATCATTGAACAGAGCTTGGAATGGCAGTCACCTATCTATCTCAACTTCATTGACTTTGAAAAGGCCTTCGGCGGAGTCGATCAAGAGGTGATTTGGAAACTACTTCGCTACTGCCAAGAGGTGCCACCAACAATTCTACACCTCATCCAACAGTTGTACGATAATGCAGCATGTCAAGTAATCCACAACGGAAAACTCACTGAATCCTTCGAAGTGAAGACGGGAGTAAGAAAATCTGGCTGGCTGCCTACTATCTCCAATGATTTTCCTGATTGGGGTAGACTGGATAATGCGAGAGACACCAGGCCGGACAACGAGGAGACAGGCATAAAGTGGACTAACACAAAAAACTCGCAGGATCTGGACTTCGACGATGATACGTATGTCTGATTTCCCGCTAACTGGAAGATATACAAGTGAAAAGTAACAATTAGGCGACAGAAGAAGCTTCAAAGATAGGCCTAGTCTTCAGGTGAACATAGAGAAAACAGAGATAGGTGATGAAGATTCCTGGGCAACAGCAACAGCAACAATAACAACAGACAAAAATCAGCATAAATGGGAGAATTATGGAAGAGGCAACCTCCTTTACCTGTCTACCTACCTGGGAAGAATCGTTTTAGCTACAGGCAGGCGTAACTGATGAGGAGATCATCAAAGTGAGCATCGGGAAAGCTTTCATTACTCTCAAGTCTGTGTGGAGGTCAACAACACTCAGCATGAAAATGAAAATAAGATCCGGAATTTCAATTGCAATGTGAAGTCACTGCTACTATACGGATCAGAGACTTGGCGCGTCAAGAAGGACACTTCAAACAAACTACACACCCTCATCAACAGCTATCTCCGCTCATGATGGACCGCCAGAAAACTTCAGCAACACGGAGGGATCTCTGAGAACGAGCCCTTCTTTCTGTTTGGAACGTCTCAACACAAGTCCATGGTGTTATTTGATGTAACCTGATTGTTAGAATAGGCTCACTCAATGAAACTATTGCTATTATTTGTCAGCATTCTGATCTTCTCCCACTCCCACAGTCAGAATTTAAACGCCTACTGATAATATGTACCACAGATGTACACTTCTAGTTTGACAACACTCTCTATCGCCAAATAGATGGTATAGCTATGGACAGTCCGCTAAGCCGTGTTTAAACAAACGTCTTAATTTCCAACCTTGAGAGAACAAAGTTGAAACCGGAAATCGAAAAAAACTTATCGTTGATACGTCAATGACACATTTATAGTGTGCAACCATCAAAGTTACACTTCCTACCTATTCGGATTATTCAGCGACGCACACACACAAAATACTGAATTTACTATGAAAATGATGGAGAGTTTTATCTCCTTAATATCACAATGCCTCGCTTGTTTTTCTTGCTCTTTTTCAAACTTCTAGAGTAATAAGACAAGTATTCCTGCAAAACTGCCAAGGGGAAAGGGAAGAGTTCAAAACTAGAAATAGTATGTTTAGTTTGTAAACGGTTGAAAATTCACTGACATATAATTAAATTAACTGTGATACAATCCAACCTGGGTCACATCTGGTATCATTGTGATATAAATGTGATAGTCAAATGTAGGATTTCCTAAAATCTGTGAAACTTGGACTCTCTTATCTGAAGATGTTCGGCAGCTCTGTTAGTTCTACCAATCATGCTTCTGTACAAAGATAGTAAGCATTGAACAGGAGATAGTAAGGCTTCAGTAAATAGTTCATAATGAAATATTATTATATTATTATTGTTTCCTTTAGTTCTTAGAGGAACATACGGTTTCAGCCGCCCACGTCTCCATTGCGTTCGGTTCTCTGTCAACGTTTTCATCTGGCTCCACGTCTGCTCACATGCTTCCATCTCCTCTTCACATAACCTCCTCCTCCATGTCACCCTCTCACTGACGGCCGACTCACTGCTCCCCATTCGTGTTTCACTCCAACGATAGCCTGGTGTGGGATGTCACTCAATTGATGATTTCTTTCCTCAGAGTATGACCAGTCAGTCCACCTACATTTTTTCCTGCATATTGTTGTACAATTGGTTTCTACCTGGTTGGTTCGCTCATTGCCAGAGATCTCTGTTTTCTGGCCAGCCATCTGATCCTTAGTAGCAAGGAGCAAAGACAGCTGTTGATGAAGGTGTATAGTTTGTTCAAAGTGTCCTTCGTGACGCGCCAAGCATTATGAAATAAATGAGGCGAAATTATATATTCAGTCCATAGTGGGTGCGTACCGATGGTGAGTGCTAAAACTGGACGAAACAGTACTGTCCAGTACTCTCCAGTTAATTGTGGCATATGACGTCAACAGTTTTATTAGAATCTACATAATGCACAGTGTGTGTACTGAATGTGATAGGATAGAGCTTCGGAACCAGACTGATAAATATTCTCCAATACATAAATTATGAGAGCCTGAAGAAAATTTTTATAGAAAATAAACTGACACTGAAATAGCTATCAGTAGTATTAATATTCATCTGATAAAAAGAATAATTTTCAATGTACTATACTTTTTCGTTAACTGACAGGTAACTGGAACAGCATTTCCAGAGAAATAACAAACTCACACATATGCAGTATGTGAATTTCTTCCAAAAGAACGATAATCAGGACGATAATCGAACGATTATTAAAACCACACGTTGAATGATGCGTCAAATCCGAAAACACGGGATTTGTCTCAAATACAGTACTATATTGAACATAAATTATGAAATATAATACTTCTCATTCGGATTCCACTCGAGTGATGGCCTGGATTGCGCTCAATGTTATTCGACGGTTTCGTTAATGTATGCTCGTTCCGTCTCCACTTTCTCCTACATATTTGTTGAGAGATCGGCTCTTGTTGGGTTTGTTGCCAGAGTTTCTGGTTACTAATTCTTTCTGGCCATTTAATCTTCATTATCGAGCCAGCCAGCGAAGTGGGAAGCTGTTGATGGAAGTCTGCAACCTAGTTAGCAACTAATGTAATGTGTCTAGTCCTCTGTTTGGTGCAAACTAAACAGATAGAAACGTGACTGATAGAATTCAGTCTGCACCAAACAGGGGACTAGACACATTACAGTAGTTGCTCACTAGTCTGAATATAGTC